CCATCGGGCCCAATACACTCCTCCTGCGCCCCCTAAACAGGAGGAGCGGACCATCCCTCGGGGACCATGGGGTCTTACCGCCTATTCAACCGCCCCAGCAGCTTAGACGACAAGGACCAGGGTACCCAACCCTACCTACACATGGTCTAAGGTACACGCAATACCCACGCAATACACCACGCTGACATATATAAAACGATGGCAATACCAACACATTGAACACAGCTATAGTGTAGTTCGCTGTTGCGGACGGTTGGGGCGTGTCAGTGCGGCTGCGTTTGAGCGTGTTCTCCGATGAAGTGTTATCATCACTCTGATGTCATGGGGTCATCCTGATAGCCCTGGTGGACGAAGCTCACTCTTCACTAAAATCTCCTGTCATTAGTTCCGATCTGCTTTATCCTCCAGTCTATCTTCATCCTTTTCATTATTCATCTCAGACTTCTTTACTATGTTTTCCCTTCTTTCTATTCTGGTACATTCATTTACTGATGTTTCCAATTCTGTAGCAACAATGGGAAACTCCAAAAGTTTATTCCAATTGTGTTGTCACAGTGCATTGTGATAGTTTGTGTTTGTTCATTGTCCTTCCAAGTCTACTAGTTGATTTCCGTATAATCAACGCGGTCTTATATGGAGCTGCTTTGAAATCTGGCCCTTGTTAAGACCTTAAAACAGATCGCAGCTAGTTCTGAATGGTAAGGAAAGGTGTTGGCTCGTTACAGGCCATTGAGGGGGCAATCGAACGGCACGACTACCCGCCTGTGAAAAGGTGCGGTCTACATCAGCGTTCCGGCGTGATCCACGTCCGCCCCACTGAGAAACTTCTTGTTCTCATCTGGTTACGACAGCGAGTTTTTTAGAATTGGACGAGTACTGAAGTCATAGTTGCTCGCGCGCTGAACCAGCTCTCACCGTACACATGACAGTCTGATATGAGTTGACCAACTATTGAGTTGGCACATAAGTAATGGCGTTTTTTTCAATTGAAAATTTTGTTCCAAAAGTGAAATGTTTTGCAAGCAAGCTTGATATCATCTGATAGGAAACTTCTCGTAGTATAAGAATATCAAAACAGCTTCGGTTGAGGGAATAATTTTTGTGAATTTTTTAGTCGTTGAAGTTGAAAGTGAAGTCGGCGAAAATTAGCACCTTCGACAACTGCCTCTATTTACGTCTACTCGAAGTGCTAAAATCGCTTAAGCTGCTCCATACATTTGGAAAAGGTTGAGCTAGAAGTCTCAGCAAGGGAATCTCAATAGGACGCTTTGGAACGAATTTCAAGAATTTCAAAGTTGGCAACCTTCACCTCGCCGATATTGGGCAGGCTCACGTCTGTTCCACCTGAAATTTTATGCTAATAGTTGAATGTTTCGCTGATATGTTTTGCATGTTCTGATAGCAAATTTCGTGCTCTATAACACTGCAATGAAATCTGTTCTCCAGAGCTGTTTACTTTCTGTTAATTTCAGGTTATCATTACGGAACGTGAGGTCGATGAGAATTAGCGTTCCCGATTTCCACGAATTTTATGCTAATAGTTGAATGTTTCGCTAATGTGTTTTGTATGCTCTGATAGCAAATTTCGTGCTCTATAACACTGCGGTGCAGTTATTTAAAATCCGTTTGATTTCCTCGTTTTTCAGGTTGGTAATATGGAATGTCAGGTCGATAAGCATCAGCATTGAACAGCTGGCTGATCGGTGGGAGGAGGTTGTAAGAAACAATGGGGAATATATCATTGACTAGTTTATTGTAAATATCTATATTTTTTATAGTGTTGTAAATACTGTGTTTGAAATTTACTAAGGAAAACAAAAAAAAATCGTGAGGTATGGGTCGACCGGATGTCTGCAAGGTCAACGTTGTCGGTTGTGCTTTTTTCCAGAATCAATTGTGAGCCGTCCTAATACTAATCTGTTACTCTATGCCTTACTCAAACCATGGCGATTCTATTGAGCTGCTCTAGGAGCTTTGAAGCTTCCGTGGACAGCGGTAGGGAGAGGAAGTCGGGAACGCTAATTCTCATCGACCTCACGTTCCGTAATGATAACCTGAAATTAACAGAAAGTAAACAGCTCTGGAGAACAGATTTTCATTGCAGTGTTATAGAGCACGAAATTTGCTATCAGAACATGCAAAACATATCAGCGAAACATTCAACTATTAGCATAAAATTTCAGGTGGAACAGACGTGAGCCTGCCCAATATCGGCGAGGTGAAGGTTGCCAACTTTGAAATTCTTGAAATTAGTTCCAAAGCGTCCTATTGAGATTCCCTTGCTGAGACTTCTAGCTCAACCTTTTCCAAATGTATGGAGCAGCTTAAGCGATTTTAGCACTTCGAGTAGACGTAAATAGAGGCAGTTGTCGAAGGTGCTAATTTTCGCCGACTTCACTTTCAACTTCAACGACTAAAAAATTCACAAAAATTATTCCCTCAACCGAAGCTGTTTTGATATTCTTATACTACGAGAAGTTTCCTATCAGATGATGTCAAGCCTGCTTGCAAAACATTTCACTTTTGGAACAAAATTTTGATTGAATTGAAAAAAACGCTTTTACTTATGTGCCAGCCCAATACATTGGACTTAGGAGACCCGAGAGAGACCCGCTTCACGGATCGTGCCCTTTTATCAGTGTCTCAACACTGTGCGGAATCCCCGTCGATTGTGCTGTTAACCTGACACTCATGACAGTGCGTCATAGTAGGAGTGATCCTTTCCCTACAAAGGTAACGGTAACTAGAAGTGATTCATCTGTAATGTAAGCATTTCGGGCAGTGACTTCGGGTATTTCCAACAGCAATCCCCACAGTTTAATCCATTGTCAGGTAAGCTGAGGTGCAGGAGCAAATTCACTTGGATATTTTCGATAAGTTTTTCTTTGTATTACAAGTAAAATTACCGTTTGGCTGCTTGAAGAGTCCCGTCCGGCGATTGGTCATGAGCTGAGGTGTCTATTCCTTTCTCGAAAGTTCTGTAAAATTTAGCTGGACCTATAGCTATATTTGAGCAAGCGGTTGTGAATCGGTACCTTTGGGTAATGAAATGAAGGTTAATGGGCTGCATGTTAGGGAGAGGTAAATAGACGCCGTTGATCTCCCGCCTGTTGTTCTTGACCAGTGTGTTGAGACCGAGCAGACGTCCATCACTGGGAATTCCCCAGCCTGACTCGGCGCCCATATCGCGTTCCGAATAGTGATAAAAAGCCTTCGGCACTCGAAGCTGGCTCCCATCACCCATTGGTATCTGAAGTGCTGTGCTCGTCTTGAACAAGTAGTCTTTTCTCACCATCACAGGAAGCTGGTACGTTCACCTATGAAAACAATCCTTTCATGTCTATGTCCAAGCTAAATGAGTCTGCAGTTGCAGGAGTGAGCCACTTCCTTAGATCGGAAGGGCACGGGAACGGGGTGGAGTTTAGTGATGCCCGGGTGCCGTTTCCGGACCTGCCCACACAATCCTCGAGGTGAAGCAGTGTGATGATACAAAAAGCGAAGACGCAGTCATGGGTCAAGAACAACCAGCAGTGAGAGGGCTGAAACAAGTAGTGAGCTGGCTACGGTTAGGCATGTGGCTGGCCGTGCCGCAGTGTGGGAGGAGTTGGAAAACGGTGTTCGGTTGTCACCACCCTCTAGCCCTGTTCCCATGCACCTTTGACCAGAGAATCTGGCACAACAGTTGTGGCCCCGTTCACCTCGTACATGGCAAGGTCAAGGATTCACGGAGATGAGTACATCTTGTCTGACAGTTGTATCGTCGCAATCATTCGGCGCGGTGTTAAGAGACATGGAATGAGCGCACCTGCAGTGTTTTCGCATCTGATTGTTAACTCTGAATGGATAGCTAATCGGTCACTGTTGGTAGAGGAGAACAGCCGGAGGCGGGTTCGTTCCGCCTTTCAGACCACGCCCCTACTGATTGCAACGATATAAACTATACACGCAGGGCACATTATCGTTGAGGATACCCCAGCAGGAGGTCGTTGGCCTGAGAAAAATTTTTTTGGCAGTTGATTTCCACGGACCCTGTGAGGTAGGGGTCGTATTTGCTCGTCGTTGGGAGAGAGAGGGTCATATTTGCCTTCTTAGAGTAATTTGCGGGCGTTGGAAAAAAGCAGCCTTTTCTTCCATTGTGCTATATACCCCCTCGACAGCCAAATTTGGAAATTTTGGAGAAAAAGTGGGAAAATCTTCAGGAAGTTTCGCCAAAACTGGCAGGCAGTTGGGAAAATCTAAGATAGCGGTAGGTAGGAAGCGGAAAATGAGAGGGAGGCTATTTTCCGAGTGGTTTTCCCCGTTTTCCGTTTCACATGTTCTATATACCCCCATCCCGTTCGACCGCTCGATCGTATCAGAGAAGGGACGAGGGGTGGGGTCGTGTAAAGCCACCCCTCAGAGAGGGTCACCAAAATCCTCAACTAATGATGTGCTTTAGATACACGTACCTGCAGGTACGAAGCAGCTCCGTACTCGTCTTTGACAGTGCCGAGGCC